CTGCTGCGGAGATGTTTAGTTATTTTTCAGTTATAAAAAAAAATTTCGCTATGAAATATAATTTAACTGCAGAATTGAAGGTTTTCATGTGAAGGAAAAAAGATAAAGCATCACAAATATCTTCTAAACTTTAGATGTCCAGAAACTATTTCATTTCCAGAAATAAACTTCTATTTAAAACAGAAATAGAAAAATGTTTTTACGAACTTTGTGAAACATAATTGTAAAATAGAGAATAGAACTCCGACGTATATTTTCATAAAAGGTTCCCAAAAAAGATTTTCCTTGAATTCATCTTTCAGATGAAGAAATATTATTTTCCACACACAAAATTGAATTATCAGTATAACAAATAAAGATTCATAACCAGACAAAAACATTTGATTATCCTGTTGGAAAAGAAGAAAGAAAAAAAAAGGGGAGAGATCGGGATATTATTTTGAGATCAACAAAGGAAAAACGGGAGAAGACATACAGATATTATTTGTTACAAGCCGAACAAGTGCAGTTCAGCTTAATACGATCAACGACTGGCATTAGGCGCTTTGAGGCAGAGTTTTGGGTCATTGCATTTGATGGGCTTCACGGCAATGCGCGGGATCTTGGCAGGAAAATGCCACTTGGCAAACGCCTTGGCGATGGTTTTATTTCAATTCACTCAGATAATATTTTATTTTATTTCTGTGTTCAGGATAAAAAGAAGGATTTGTTTTGAGTTATGGAAGGTTTTAGTGATATGCAATACTAAAAATTAGAGAAATTTATTTTAAAAATTTCGAAAAACTGAATCAGATGAATGTATTTATTTGTGCTTATTATTGAAAGATTTTTTCCTGCCTTGTAGGCTGCATTCGAGAAAAGTTTACATAAAAACTAAACTTAAAATACTTATTACGATTACTTTTTTCAAAAAAAAAAAAAGAAAGAAAGAAAGAAAAGAAAAATATGGCTTGTTACTTTATGGTTAATAAGCTCAGATTTTAATTTGAAACATTCATTACAATTAAACGTACACTTTAGAAAAGAGCTGCAATGACTTAGGGGTTAAAGGCACTGGGCTTTTCAGTGTTAAGAACTACTAATCTATCCTCAGAAGCAACTGAAATCCACCTAGCTTTAGATCGATGAACACCGGTCTGTTTAGGAAGTAAAGGCGGCTTGTGTGCAATACATAGGTGAATTCATACTGCTAATAACGACATTGAAAAGTCTGAATCTCCATGAATCCTCTGGCCAACAACGGGCTGTTGAGGAATTGGTTTTATACTTAAAAGGGAAGAAACATTTAGCTGGTTTCGAAAGAAGACTGAAGTTGAAAGATGATTAATTGAATAATCCCAAGTTTCATTAGGCAATCAAACAGGTTTTGATATTTTCATTGATTTAGAATAGAAAATGGTAGAAATTGGCTGTATTTTGTTTGCATTTTTGTTTTTTTCCTCGTTTAAATATTAAATTGTGACTCCCAACTTCTTTTTTACTCGAAACTTGAAAAGGATTCTCTAAATATATACTATATCGAAAAAGAAGTTATTGCGAATACAACCCGTATAAAACCATGTCTGATCGATAGATTGCGCTGTAATAGTAAAGTGAAAACGAGATATAAAACGATGATTTACTTAATGATGATATACTTATAAAAAATTATATACTGCCGGGGTATATAATTATGATATAAAAATGACGTACTTATAAAATGACGTACTTAAGTCAATTTTCAACTTCTCCCACAAGGGAAATTTCAAAATTAATTGTAGCGTCCCTTTCTTACTGCAGATTTGTATTTTCCAGAAAAAATTACTCTAATGTTAATTACAAGTTTTTGCATTTTGGTTTGTAATTATAATTGTAACAGTAAAATTAAAACGGCGTACAAATTAAAAATTGTGATACATCGAGAAATGCTCGTCAGATTGAAAACATATAACTAGATGTGTTTGATATTTTGAAGGGAAAAAAACTATCTAATATCCCAAAACTTGGCCCCACCCCAACCCCTGAAAAAATAATAAGTAAATAAATTAAATTCACTATAAATTAAATTAATTATAAACAAACTACCAATTTCTTGCTGTTCACTATAAAACAATGAAATATCATTCGCCAAGCAATAGTAAGCACAGGACCACGGTTAATTATAGCGTAGTCAGCCGGCTTAATTTAAATCGTCCCGATTTCAAGGACGGACGAAAATTAGAATTTCTGTAAACTATAAATGATGGGATAAAGTAGATAAACGTGCCAAGTAAGCGACTCTTTCTAAACGCCAAGTAGCCAACACCTGTAAAGTCTTTTATATTATGCAGTAAAGCGGCTAATAGGCGCACATTAGGCGGATGAAACAGTGTACAGCAGCGAAGCCTGTTCTTTCTGTTAACAACCACCTAACCCGATAAATTAAATACGATGAAGCCCGTGTAATGACGCTTGTTTTGAAAGAAATGTCGAAATTGGTTTGGCGTTCTCTTTTGATGGAGGGGGAAGGAAATGAGTTTCTTGTATGGAATCGTCTGAAATAGGAAATTGATATAGATCAGGGGCAGCGTTTGTTACGAAACGTTTTTAAAAGTTTGGCTTCTTGCAGACGATTATTAAGAGTTCTTGTCTAGTTTGAAATCATTTGAAACAATTCTGTGACAATTCTCTAAATTTATTGTCATTAATAAGACATTGGCAACAGTCTAAGTGTTTCCGTTTGAAGATTGGTTAGGAAATTTTATGAAAGGTTACATTTTTCAAGTTTTTTTTTCTCTTTTTTAGTTTTGTTAAAAGGACTTTTCTCTAAAACCACTTTTCACATATGAATTGGTGTTTGAAATTTATTCGGCAGTATTTTTCGAAACATGTAACCATGGGTATCGCAGGGCTCTAGTTTTTGAAAGGGGCGAAATTAAAATACTAAGTGGCAATAGTTTTCTAGCATAAGAAAAAAGCATCTTATATTTTTTAAAGGATTAGATTATTTTGATTTCTTTCTTGCTTTTACTTTGATAAATTTAAACCGCTGCTGGTTCATGAAAATTCTGTTTATTTATTTGGAATATTGAGGGATATATTATTTATTTCGATCTCACCCCGCCAACAATGCCTATGCATGTAACAAAATTTTTCATCGAATCAAAATGAGAGGAGCAGACATTATTCTAAAATGTCAACGGATTTTTTTCCTTGCAAAATTATACAAATACAATACTTTTAGATAGGCCACAAATATAGTTATTTTTATTAAGATAGGTTATAAATAATCAATATTTTTAGCTAGGTCATTTAGTATTATAACTTAGTCTGTTTTCAAATTTTTTGAGAAATATTTTTGTTTTCTCAATGTTGACTATTTATTTTAAGAGAACTTTTCATCACCACAAAAAAAAGAAGAAAAAAGAGCGTTTTAACGATAGATACACTAGAGCAGATAGTCACAGATCTCGTTTTAAGATTAGAAGGTTTACACGTAAACCGCATAGCAAACCTTTTAGGTTTACATTTAACAGGTTTTTGCTGAGTTAAAATAAGCCTTATTTTGCTATCTGGGATTGAGTTGCAAGTTCGCATATTAGTAAAGAGCAAAATGATCATTGTTTTAATTGAAAACGGCAGCTGGTATTTGAATTCATAAAATCAAAATGGGATTGTTGATAAAAATTGGGTAATTTCGATAAAAATCGTGTAATGTTGATAAAAATTATTTTTATTTGACTGCGACACACAATTTAAATTCATGTCGTAAATCAGCTAAGCCTTCTTATATATGTATAAAGGTTCTACTCCATCCGAGGTCACTGTCTTTTATAACCGTTGAACAGTCGACCCGATTTGGGGCTTATGACTACTAATGTTCAATTCCGTAGCCTTGTATTTTTGAACCCAATCCAGAAGACAAGGGAGCTCCTGGATCAAGTATCAGAAGAAATTCGTCTGGGTACAAGACTTTGTGATCTAACTAACCCGCAATTGCGCTACATGGAGAGGAAAACCTTCCACGATTAGTCTAACAGCAAGGAGAGTCTAACTTATATACCTCTGAGGATATTTACACGTCAGCACTGTGGTCGGTGCAATCCGGGTGCGGAATTCTTATCTACTAACCATCGCTGGGGATTCGAATCCGGTTCACCTCATTGGAAGGCGAACGCTCTATCCCCTGAGCCACCAAGGCTCGAGGTCGCTGTCTATGACCAATCTTCAATAGAGATTTACTACAGCTTGTGGTGGTATATGAAATTGCCTACAGAAAGTTGGCATTTTCAATAACAATGCGAATCATGAGATTGTGTTTCATGTATTTTGCCATATTTTTGTTCATAATTTCCAAATAATCGATTTTATAATGAAATTCCCAACTAAATTTATTATAAAAAATACTGCCTGAAAAAGTGGTTGTTGTTGTTGTAGTTCATTTACGTCGCACTAGAGCTACGCAATGGGCTATTGGCAACGGTCTGGGAAACATCCCTGGGGATGATCCGAAGACATACCATCACAATTTTGATCCTCTGCAGAGGGGATGGCACCCCCGCTTCGGTAGGCCAACGACCTGCACGCGAAGTCGAGCACTTTACGGTAGCACAGTTTAACGAGGACCAATACCGCACACCCTCGGTCCCTACGCAGGCTAATCAAAGTGTCATCCACCCGCACACTGACCGCAGCCAGTGATGCTTGACTTCGGTGATCTGCTGGGAACCGTGTCTTAACGATCAGTCCACTGCGGGACCTGAAAAAGTGGTAGTAACTTGTTTATAACAAGAGGATATTTCTTCCTGTTACCTACCACTTAAGCATTAAAAAAGCAGTGGATCCATTTATGTTAATATGGAAGACAGAACTTCCTTGTTTCTGTAAAATAAATCCCAGCTATTGTGTTACCACTTTTTTCTTTTTTGAAAAAAGTAACTGTCTTTTTAAAAGGACGCTAGACACAAATAAGTTTTTAAAAAAAAGCGTTTTATGCATTAAGATTTTTTTAAGAAGTATTTAAAAAAAAAACATACAAATTCTGTGGTTTAAAAAAGTACATTTTATTATACATTTATGTACAGTTTACGAATTACAACGAAGCTTATTTTATTTGGAAGATTCTACAATCTCCCAGTATAGTTTGATTCGTTTCAACCATTCTTTCCAATATTTCAACATTTTTTCTTCATCAATGAAAAGAGGATTTGCAGGAACTCCACTCTCATATGCAACAACTATTAATCCTTTTCTAACCTAAAAATCAAAGACATTGTAACCATAACAAAACCGAAATCAATAAGAAATGCATGTTTCCCATCCTAGGAATTTATAAAAACATTATCTACTAAACAAAATAATAAATGTACACAATAATATTTTTCATTTAGGAAGTAATCTTTCGAAAGTATTGCAAAGGAAGGTAGTCTGCCCAACTTTTTTAGTTGAGCAGACCAAATCAAATATTAACAAGTAGTAGTGGTTTTCCTCCAATGTTTCATACAATATACATATATATAAACACTACACTAGAATATGTATAAGAAACACTTTCACATTTCAACATTTCTTTTTAAATTTCTCAAGAAATTTAAGAGGCTTTAAGAACCGACAATAAATTACGAAAAACAAGTATTTTTGAACACCCTATGCTATAAAAGTTAGCAATAATTGCATGGAATTTTGTTAATTTAGCTTAAATATTTACAAAAATATGGAGATTTTTATATAAAAAAGGTAATTTTTTCTCGTGTTTTTTGCTATAACTTCAAAAATATTCAACAAATATAAATAAAACATTGAAAGCTATTTTTAACTAATAACGAAATTATTAGTTTAAATCTTGAAACAAATTTGTTTAAAATTTTGCAAATTCTGAGTAAATAAGTTATTCAACAAATAATTAAGGAGAACTGTTAAAGTGATGAAAATTGTTCCCTTTTTCAATTTACCTAGGTGATCTGCAAATTATCAGCATATTACCTGAGAGGTATTCATTAAAGTATTAACCTTGCTCGAACAGCAGTAACGTTACAATAATATAATGTTACTATTTTTTTGAGATGTAAACAATCAAGTTAAAACAACCAAACAATCAACATATTAGTTGATAGAATCAACAATTATTTGATAGAATTAATTAAGTAAATTTTTGCTTTATCAAAACCAAACTAAAAGTGAAGAAAGGAGTAGGGAAAGGAAATGAGAGAAACAAATATTCAGCTCTTAAATGATACAGAAATCATTAGGTAAAATGTGATAACTCTTGATTCTACACTTTAATGGATCTCCCTACTTAAGCGGCAGATTAGTTATGTAATGTGCTCACTAAAGGCTTTTCAGCTTCAACAGCAACAAGTTTTTAAATAGATATATTACTGCTGGTGTAAAATCCAGAAGACAAGGAAACTTCTGGATCAGTACCCCCAGAGGTATGATTTGTTATGGGAACATGGAGGACTTTGCAACTTAACAGTTTAATGTGCATCAGTTACAATTTACTACACCAGGATCATTTGGCCGATGGGAATCGAACCCACCACCACTTGGACATGGGTGCAGTGTCCTACTAGCCAGGCTATCCTAGCCTTAATAACTAAATTTGAAGAAAAAAAAAGCACTTCAAAAACTATGAAAAAAAATCCATAATTGATATTTCCGAATTCTTTTAAGTTTTTATTGAAAAAGTTCTGCACCATGTACTAAAAAATGCAAGATTAATAAGGTTATTTTATTTTTCATTTCCTTTAATACTTATTTCACTTACCAAATATTGAAATTTAGGATCAAAATTTAAAGCTCCAACATAGGCAGCAATTTGTAAAGGATTGTCATAGGTGCTGGATAAAGCTCCTTTTGTTCTTTTTGATGTTTTCCAATCAATCACCACCAAATGATCTCTAATGCAGAAAATAAAGAGAAAAATAATTACTGAAAATCTATACATAGACTTAGTTATCATGTCAATGCATTAAAATGTTTTTAATTACACATGTTTTTATTATTATTTTACATNGGGGGTAACAAAGTAATTATCAAAATAAAGTTTATAAAGATTATAAAAAACTTATTTCTTGGTCCCACGTTTTTTTTGCTGTAACTTCAAAAATATTCAACAAATGTAAATACAATATTTAAAGCAATTTTTAATTAATAACGAAATTATTAGTTTAAATTCTGAAACAAATTTGTTTAAAATTTTGCCAGATATGAGCATTTAAAGTAGTTCTTTTACACTAAAAGAAAGCTACAAGACCAGAAATAAGTTGTTCAACAAATAATTAGAGAGAGCTGTTAAAGTGTTGAAAATTGTTCCATTTTTCAATTTACTTAGGTGAACTGCAAATTATCAGCACATTACCTGAGAGGTATTCATTAAAGTGATAACCTTGCTAGAACAGCACTAACGTGTCTGCATGTTACAATATTACAATGTTATTATTTTTTTGAGGTGTAAACAATCAAGTTAATACAACCAAAAAATCAACATATTCGTTGATAGAATCAATCATTAATTAAGTAAATTTTTGCTTTATCAAAACCAAACTAAAAGTCGAGAAAGGAGTAAGGAAAGGAAATGAGAGATATTATGATCTTAAATTATACGAAAACCATAAGGTAAAATGCAGATAATTCTTGATTCCACACTTTAATGGATCTCCCTATTTATTCTGCAGATTAGGGAATGTGCTCATTAATGGCTTTTCAGCTTCAACAGTAACAAGTTTCTAAATATATACATTATTGCTGGTGTAAAGTATAGGTTCATAATGAATTAATAGTTTCTGATTATACTTTTTTAAAATCTTTAATAAGAATTGGTGGTCAAGAACACTTTAACCTTCTGCCGTCTAAGTTTTAAAATGCCAAACTATGATTTATTTGAATGAATTTACCTAACAATTATTTCTGATTCCAACGCAGTTTTTTCTCTCTAACTACAACCTTTGAGCCGCGATGGCTCAGGGGATAGAGCGTTTGCCTTCCAATGAGGCGAACCGGGTTCGAATTCCAGTGATGGCTCTTCGATAGGAATTCCGCATCCGGTTTGCACCAACCACAGTATATATCCTCAATGGTTGACGGATCATGGGTTAGAGTCTCCTTGGCGTCAGGCTGACCATGGAAGGTTCTCGTGATTTTCCTCTCCATGTAACGCAAATGCTGGTTAGTTCCATCAAAAAGTCTTCCACAAAGGCAAAATTTCTCCCAATACTTGATCCAGGAGTTCCCTTGTCTTCTGGATGGGGTTCAAAATTACAAGGCTACGAAGTTGAACATTAGTACAGTACAGAACCCGTTATCCGGAAATCCTAAAAATCAAAAAACCGGAACGAAATTCGATAAATTTCCTCGCCATTTTTTTAAAAAAAAAAATTTTTTTTCCTCGTAAGATTTTACGATTTTTCTTTCTTTTTTTTAAAGATGTTTACCTTACCATCACTGTGGAAATAATCATTAGTGTATTACTTCATCGTTTTTTCTTATTTTTAAGATTATTTCCAAATTTTTTTTTTAGTTGGGTTTAACAATAAAAAAAACGGCTTTTTGTGGCGATTCAGAAAACCGGAAAAATCAGTTATCCGGAATAGCGATGGTCCCGACCGTTCCGGATAATCGGTTCCCTACTGTAATCGTAAACCCAAAAATTGGGTCGGCTGTTCAACTATAGCTATAAAATAAAATAACTACAACCCTAAGTAACACTCCTAACTATTAATCTTTCGGAGACATTAAAATATTATATAAGCATCTAAAAAGAGAAGAGTGTTGTGATTTGCTAATTTTTGCAAGCAAAGATGGAGGAGTATGAGTCATGCTCATATAAGACCCTAAATTATATTTATTTTCAATATTTTTAAACACCCTAAGTGGAAAAGAAATACACTTGGATAACAGATAAATTTCAAATTTAAAATAAAAGCACAATTCCAGAAAAGAATTTTTTCTTTTTTTTTTAAGAATTTCAAAGTTTTACAAAGTAAACTATAATGTAAATTTTGTTTTATGTTAAGTTACATCTTTTATTTGAATTTAATTCTTAAAATTAGATTACAGTTAAAGTCAAAGCTAAAAACAAGTTGAAGGTGCAAGGATTTTCTTACATATATATTGAAATGGGACTGTGATTTGCTTATTTTTGCTAACAAGGTCCAAGGTTTTGCTGACTGTCCAAAATTGCCAAAACATGCTTACATAATATTTGAACAGTCCTTTTATTGAATAGCTCAGAGGAAGAATGTACTATAATTTCAGTTAATTATCTTTAAAAATTTAAGCATGGTTCTCCCCCCCCCCCATTATTTTACTGAATAAATGCATTTCTAGTATATTTGTGAAAGTATAAGATACACAATTTTTGGGGTACATTAATTTGTACTCTCAAATTATATTCTTTACTATGCTGTATACCAAATTGTGTATGAATTGATTGATTTATTGTAGATTTTTTAATGAGACAGAAATTTATAATATTTTTGTATCATCTGCTTCAATACTTCTAGTGTTAAAACACATTTGCCTTTTCAATGGAAGATGTTAATTGCAATTCTAATAGCTAAATTGTATTTTATTTCATAACTGTAGTTGAACAGCCGGCTCAATTTTTTAGTTTACGACTACTAATGTTCAACTCTATAGCCTTGTAATTTTGAACCAATCCAGAAGACAAGGAAACTCCTCGATTAGTACCCCCAGAGGTATGATTTGTTATGGGGAACATGGAGGACTTTGTGACTCAACAGATTTAATGTGCATCAGTCACTATTTACTACACCAGGATCTTTTTGGCTGACGGGAATCGAACCCACCACCTCTTGGACATGGCCGCAGTGCCCTTTCCAGTCAGGCTATCCCGGCCTTAAGTTTTTATTAAAAAATTTCTGCACCATGTACTAAAAAATGCAAGATTAATAAGGTTTTTTTTTAATTTTTCATTTCCTTTAACACTAACTTCACTTACCAAATATTGAAATTTAGGATCAAAATTTAAAGCTCCAACATAGGCAGCAATTTGTAAAGGATTGTCATAGGTGCTGGATAAAGCTCCTTTTGTTCTTTTTGATGTTTTCCAATCAATCACCACCAAATGATCTCTAATGCAGAAAATAAAGAGAAAAAATTACTGAAAATCTATACATAGACTTAGTTATCATGTCAATGCATTAAAATGTTTATAATTACACATATGTTTTTATTATTATTTTTCATTGATATTTTGTAATGTTAAAATAAATATTAAGATTTAGGAATATAATTGAAAAATTGCAGACCATGCAAGATTTACAGATTAAATGAAACCTTTTCTGTTTTTATAGATGTTTTATTATAATGCGGCAAATAATAGGGTTTCTATAAGACTTTAATCCTCGCTTTTTCTTGAAAATGCAGTAATTGTAAAACTGAAATGCTTAGTTTTAAAATTTTCTTTCAAAAACTACTGTCAATTTTTTTTCCAGTTTAGCTTTTGTATATAATCTTTGTTTTTTATAGGCGTTTTTAAAAACATTTTGGAAACATTATCTTTTTAATGTTCAATAAATAATTTTTTTACAGAAAATATTTTTTTTTTCACATTAAAGTTTTGTTTCAAGAATTAAGAGGATATTTTTTTCTATTACTACCTTTTTTATACATTTTTACAACTATTTTAATAGCTGTTAGTCAATTTTTTTTTATCTTAAATATTTCTCATTATCTTAATATCTAATTATCTTTATCTTAACCCTTTCTATTAAAGTTTTTTTTTTCTTTCCTTTACCACATACCATTGTATTCATTAGCTATGTATTCATTATTTTTTAACGTTTAAACTTATTTCTAAATAAAAAAAATATTTATTAATGATTTTTGTTGCTATTCGGCTCATATTTCGGGCGAAATGTTCGGTATTCAGCCAAATCACTATTCGTTACATCCCTAATAATCTCATTTCAATACTGGTACATTGCAATCCCTCAATCAAGAGGGCAGAGAGACGGTGGTAATAGATGTCTGATCTTCATACTACAATCTCTAATTGCATATGAATTTTTCTATCATTGAAATCCCTAGGGTAGTGTATTAATACGACCCTGGGAATTGATTAAGTGGATTCTGAACCATCAAGGTCTTATCACAGAAAATGCTATAGCATCATACACTCAGCTTTAAACATGAGATATCTAATCCAAGCTCAAGTCATAGAAAACAAATACTCCCTCCATCCTATTGCTAAGGTAAATAATCCATTTTTGAAGATTTCGTTTTGTAAACATTTTGTTAAAATCTTTTATTAAAAATGGAACTAAAAACCTTTCATTGTCCTCTTTACTATTCTCATAGAAATTTTGTTTCATAAACAAAATCATAAATTTATCGATTGAGGCCCTGACTTTGTAAAACACAAAATAGCAGCAATAATTTAAATAATCAATTAGGTATACTAAAAAATATAAGGGAACATGTGAGACAACATCAAAATTACAGTAGCCATAGGAGCATCACCCTTCGGTGTTATAAGTTGTAGGAAATATTGATGTTACTTGAATTACTGTTTTTTAAAGTTATTTTTCAAAGTGGCACCTATAGTAGATGTTATAAAGACCAGTTTTGACAGAGGAGGTTATTCTGATGGGAAGAAAATGGGTTTATTTATTTTAATGATGTTTAAGTAGCAATGATGCTATTTGCATAATGATAATCTAGAATTATTGTCACTCTGATATTCAATCCCAATCATTGGGAAAATCAGTTGAAGTATATTTTAAACAATAAGTACTATCTTTGATTTACCACCTTTATCATGATTAACAGTTTGCACAGAGCTAACACACAAACTAAGATAAGAGAAAAACACAAGAAGTTGCCAATAACTAATTAATAATTAAGCATGAGAGTATTTAAAATGAATGTAAAGTTATGCTAAGATGAATGCATTGATAAAAATTAACAGTAGCACTATTTTTAGTCACAGAATGTGAGTGTTATGTGAGCAATTAACAAATGAATTCAAACATCAAGTGAAGAAGTGACTGAAAAGTTATAATTTGCGATGCTACGCTTAGAGAAAAGAATGGCACAATCACCTTCTTGCACTAAAAATTCATACTACTTCTATTGTTATAATCTGGACGCGTCCATCATAGCACAGCTTTACATACCCTTTAAAATTGCTGAAACTGCTTTATCAGTTACAGACAGTTTGCAATGCCAGTTCTCTCACCCCTCGTGGCAGAATCATGGCGACACGGCAACATTGTTGCAGAACATTACAGAGTTCTTGCAGACAGAATTTTTTTATTTGGGAAGCAAAGAAGTTAAGGTTTTTTTTAGCTGCAAAATTTTTCAAAATATTTTTTTTGTTTTTTTGTACAGAACTTTTTTTCCCCTTTCTGCAGAATTATCTTTAAAAAATGTCTTTCTTGCATATCGGAGGTGGGGAAAAAACGCTTGTGATTTTTTTTCTTTCTTTTGAGAATAAAATTTTTTTTTCAATGATTGGCTTTAGCTAGAATTTTAGATAGATATTATAAAAAGCAATCACCCACCAAATATCAAAAATTTAAAAAAGATTAACTTTACAAATATATTTTAGAACAGAAAAATATTGCCAATAACATTAGAATATGCATTCCTTTATAATTAGATTTTAAAAAAAATCTTACATTTATAATTAACAAATATACATAATGTTCTGTTCAATACATGATGGTTTTTTTTTTTTTTTTTTTTTTTTTTTTAAAAAAAAAANTAACATATATATTTGCTACTATTAAAAATGTTTCTCAGAAAGGTGTACAGGAGAGAATTGAAGCGGAAAGCTCGAAAAAATCCTGCCACTGAGCTCTCATCTTACTTTATAACTGTGAGCAGAGGCACACTTTCATTCTGATGCTATCATATTTACATCTATTCATTTTTTATTAGGGCAACCTTAATAGAAGAACCTACCTATATTTTGCAAAACAATCTACTATACCCTTATAGCATAGAAATGGATGTGAAACTCTTTCTTCTAACAGCTTGATGTCAGTTATTCTAGGAAATATGGTCTTCAGACTTCTCCAATGTCCCAAATTACTTTCCTCAATTAGAATATCAGCTTCAGGAGTTGCACTCAAGTAACTATTAATGTTGGAATGAATAGAAGCTCCATTTTTCAATAACTCTATTCAAATAAAATATTTAAAAAAACTTTAAGAAAGTAAATAAATAAACAGATTATATAGGTATCATTTTAATGATCCCTAGCAACAATTTTATCTTGACTCCAGTTTGGCTCAATATAGGTCCTACATGAACATGTACCGTGGATCAATACTGGGATGTCTAGATTTTTTAATATTCGGCCCATGTAGGGGTAATATTGGCCTTTATGGGGCCAATATAGAGAAAACAAAATACCGAGTGAACCAGAGAACTTTATAACCAATATAGGGCCTATATTGGTTGAAAAATATTGGGTCAACCAAAAAAATTTATATAGGACCAATATCGTTAAAATAGCGGCCCTTTGAACCCATATTGAGCCGAGATTCATGAATATGGGTCCAATGAGAGCCCAAGTTATTTTGCTGCTAGGGATCTTTTATCATATCAAGTATGCCCTATGGGAAATATTACTCCTTTTCTATAAATGATGTAATTCATAATATTTATTCATAACTTTTAGTTTTAACCATTTCAATCTAACACCTTCTAGGTTGAAAATAAAAAAAAAGCTTAAAAATGTCAATATGGACAAAGTGTACAGTATTTTAAAAATGAAAAAAAAAGTTTGTAATCTAAATTTTTTGCATTGTTTGTTCTTCATCAACAAGTTTAATGAATAGTGTTCAATTCAATTGAGTAAGGAAAAACAAATCTTGCCAAATTGGTAATTTTTTTCCTTCTTAAATGTGCTCTTTAAAAAAAAAAAAAAAAAAAAAAAAAGTTTAAAGTGAGAGTCTGTTTTTAAGTACCATGAGACATTCTTGTTGAAAGAAAATATTGTGTTAAAACTTTTGATCATTTTCATTTTTTGAAACATTTTAACAGCAGCTAGTAATTTTTCAGCGTAACACCAAAAATGAAAAAGTGCTTAGCGATTTTACAGTGCGGGAAAATTCTACTAGTTTATTCTCCATTGTCTTTAATTTTTTTAATTTATTCAAATAAAAATTTTTAAAAAAAATCTAAACAGATATAGCTGCATTTATTTTTTTTCTATTGCCTGCACCTATAAAATGGATAAGTACCATTAATGCATTTTAATACCATGAAAATTTGCAAGAAAAATTTAACAATAAAAATTAACGTTTTTTAAGAATTTTAAAAAGTTTGCTTAGTGAACCTATACAATTCATGAAAAAGCAATACTTTATCACATTCTCATGTCCAGTTTATCTAGTTATCACTTCCAGTTATCATGTCTAGTTATCATATCTAGTTATGCTTATATAACACAAATCCATAAAAATCAAAGTAATAAACAGCAAAACCCTTTAACTTAAAAAACCCAAAATAAATGTTAACTTAATAGATAAAATAATAAATATATTAAATACACAAAAATCTCATAAAATTCAAATTTATAGCATCAGAGCTTAACATAATGAATAAATGTGTGAATTAAATGTAAATAAAAAGCTGAAAAACGAAAACACACCAGCCCTGTATTTCTGAAAGCCTTCTTCACCTAATTTCTCAATCATATTCCGTTTCCATCGAGCTAAAGCTTCCACACTCTCTTTCGGCATAGTTTTTTCTAAAATTGCAGAAACACTTGGCACCATGAAGTTAGTCTTACTTTCTAAATGTTTCCGCAATGCATTTATTTCATTAATCTTAATTTGCATTTTCTCTCCGTCATAAGACTTATTTAAAAGAGGGAAATCTAAGATATTATTATAATCAAAATCCAATGAATTGTTTATTCCACTTCTACCACTGCTTTTTTTAGGAGCAGGTTTTGAATCGGCACAATCTTCGATGGGAAGCGTAGTTCGGTGCTGAACAATTTCATTAAACTCATTCAACTTCGTTTTGTCGTATTGTTCGTTTTGAGAGTGGTTTAAGAGTGGCCCAAATAATTTCTTATTTTCATAATTCAATCGTTTAACAACCTGTGAAGCCTTTTTCCAATCTAATATTTTGGAAGGTTTACTTGGATGAACAGAGAAAGTTTTCCTATAAACAACAATTTTTCTCCTTTTCGGTGACACCTTCTCATCTTCGTCATCGTTGGAATTATTAGAAAAAGTACAAAAATTAATTTTTTCGATTTTTATTAGTCTGAGGACGTAATCACAAATTTTAAAACGATGGAATTCATTAATCATAATAGACTTCCTCATTGTCAAGTAAAAATACTTGGATAATAACAGATAATGCGAAAAACTTTTATTAATTAAAATTTCAATGACAAGAATGATTTCACATTTCTTAAATATACAATTCGCGTTTTTTATTTATATTAAAATTAAGTTGGAGTTATGAGACTGTTTGTTTTTGCATCATTTTAAATTAATTCTGTATTTATTCATAGTCCCCGATTCCCTTTTTTTTTCTATTTATTTATTTACAATTCGTAAAAATCAAACTTTCTCTTTTTAAGAGAGCTTGCTTTTATCATTAATGCTCCATGTGAGTAATACTTCAGCGTCTTTGTAATCGTAACCGTGACATATGAACGCTTTGTTGTGTAATTTTTGAAAACAGAACAAAACAAACGTGCAATTTGCATGTAGTTGGTTCTTAAGTTTTTTGAAGTATTCCTTCAGGTTCTAAAATGCATGCTTTGCAATTTAGTAATTTATCACGAGCCGATGGCTCAGTGATTTTTTCTACGGGTATTTATAAGTTTTAGTTATACATTATGTCTGTTTCTCTGATGATTTGCTGGAGCTGAAGAAAATTCTCCAAAGGGATTAAATGATATGTCTATTTAATCCATTCTATTTATTCTATCTATCTATTCTATTTAATCCCTGTGGAGAATTATTATTATTTATTTGATATGTCTGGTAAACCATTTTTATTCAGAAAAATTATGGGGGCTTAATATATTGTACAACTTTTAGACTAAACTATTGTAGTAATATTATTAACTATTGTTGTTGACTAAACTATTTAGGAGATTTCCGTATCCTGATCTGTGGTAGAATAATTGCCAAGTCGTGTCAACTTCCGGACAACAGCCCGCGAGAAACTAAAAAAAACATCACAGAAAAAGACCAACGCAATTGGCAGACATCTAAATGTTTTTTTTGTTTGGTTTTTATTAGATTTGCAAGTTTAAAATATTTTTGGCACCTTGGCGATTGTAGATGGCGCAACAGATCACGATAAAGAAATATCCCCGATTTTATTTTGTAGCATTACTAATCATGATTTTCGATACTATTTTGTTTTGGGAGCCAAAAAAATTTTTGATTCTAATCTGGAATTAATAAATTTTTGTAAATGCATTAAATTTAACGATTACCAATATTAAAGTTGTTTTATGCATTTATCGCTTCACACACACAAATACACCTATAGTTATACTTCTTTTTTTAAGGGTTCCTCAAAACTGAGTTGTATCTAATTCTAAATCGTAGTTTCTTTATATCATGTAGGTTATTGTAAAATTAACAATGCTTAAATTACAGAATAGCAAAATTTTGATTTTTATAAACCACACTGTTGTCTCTACAGCACTTTTGTTTGCATTTTTTTAACCTCTGTTTTGTTGGGTAACATAAAACATTATCAAGTTATAATGATTGAACACATTGATTATTATAACAATCTTTTGCTATAAATTTCTCATTTAAAATTAAAGATTATGTTTATAATTAATTATTTGTAGGATCTATGAAGTTTGCTGCATGCATTCTTTTTCATATGCAAGTTTGATATTTTATTATCTTAAGCTGTTTTTTTTTTCATAGTGCCATCTAAGAATTTATATATGTGATTGTTGAGGGGCACCTAAACTATTAGTAAGAAAAGTGTTTCTATAAAATTAATAAGATTATGTACTAATGTAAAAATGATTTTAATCTTCTTTTTCCGTTGAATTAGAAATTATCTCTATCTTTTAAATGAAATGATGTACAAGAAAAAAGTCAAATGTAAAGATGTGACTCATCAATGGTTTGTAATTTATAAATTAAATAAATGGGGAAAATATGTAATGCAAAGTTGTCAGAGATCAATTTAGGGCAAAATTTCTATTTAAGCTCTGTTGTGAGACAATTATTAGGCTATATTTATCATTAAACTTCTTTAAAAATTTTGAAATATTAATATTGGAATAATGTATCTAAGTATATACATTAGTTAAATTGCAATTTAAATTTGTTATTCAATATTGTAAAAATTTAAATGCTGTAATTTTTTTTCTGCTGTATCAATTTTAACTTTTATATCATTTAGGGGAAACAGTTATCCAAGCTGCTGCATATGGTCCAACTGAAATAAAAATAAGCAAAGAACTTTATGATAAAGCAGCCATTGAAGTTATTTTCAATCCAAAAGTTGGCCAATCAGGTAATTGTTATAGAGTTACATAGTAATAAAATATGGTAAAGTTATTAATTATATGAATCTTAATTAAATATTCTAAAAACTGACCATTTAAACCATTGGGTATAAAAGCTACTGCTATGGTAACAATTACTCTATTTTTTTTTTTTACTTCCCCTTCCAGTGTTTTCATCATAGAAAAAAAATGGATGAGAATTTATCGCCCTTTCTAAAAGACAAGGTGAGATTTCAAAAAGTTAAGTGAGATTTCTAAAAACTAAAAAAACACAAAAACTCTTGAAAAAAAAATCATTTCTTTAATTATAATACATTTTTAACGTCTTCTATTTTTTAAAGCATTGAATATTTTTGGTGCTTCATCATAGAAGATTTTGCCTTTACAAGGTATTTGTCCATCTTACATAAGTGCATAAAAAATTTTAACATCTTACATAAAGACACTTTACCTATGGTAAACACGTGGTTGCAGAGAAATGTTTTCTGAAAGGGGTTCCGTGGTTGTGTTCTGTTGTTCGAAAAGGTTCTGAATACTGGTAAATAGGGAAGCTAGATAATGAGGCAGATGTTGAAAATAATGAAAGATTCAAGAAGAAAAAATAAACGGATTTTATTCTAAATGGCGTAATTCGAAGCTTTTTCCAAATTGCGAGAAATTCTCGAATTTTGAAATTGATTTATTAGAATGCTCGAATTTCTCGTGATAATCATTTTTTAATGAGAGAAAAGAAAAAAGTATGCGAGATTCTCGCGCTGTAGTGAAATCACTGCCTTCGTAGATTTATTTAAGTTCTATTATTGTATTGCTAAATGTAAATTATAATAATCTTATATTAATTTTTATGAAAATGAAAAATAATTATTGAACATTTAAATTTTATAATGAAAATAGGCAAAATGAGAAAATTTACTTTTTTGAACACAATCCTTAAAAATAAATTTCACCATAATCAAAAGGTAAATCTTTAGTAGTAAGGCATTTTCAATGCCGGTCAAATACTGATTAAAAAATTTATTATAAGTAGTTGATAACAACCTCTTTGTTTGGTGGTTCCAATATGAGAGCTTCTGCGGGAAGTATAGGGAACAAGCTATAAAAAAAAAATTATATTTCCCATACAAAATTTTATATTCTGATTTGCATGTTGATTATTAAATGCAGTAATACTAATTAATATTGTAATTTGACATAGTAGCCCCTAATGGGTTAAGTATGCATTGCTTTATGCTATTGAGTCTCACATTTTTATTTATTTATTGTATTAAATGCATTAATTATTTTGTAGCAGAGCTGCAAGCTGAGCAGTTAGAATGTTAAACTTTGATACTAGTCCCTGAATCCCACAGTAAATCTTAATGAGACTGGGTTATTCCATTTCTTTTCATTGCAGTGAATCCAATTCCAATATATCCTTTGAAGGCACATAAACTCCCATTCTTTGTGTAAGTAAGGGGACTTTTAAAATAAAAACAATGGCACCATCTGCTAATTTCGGATTTAAACACACAATTTACTTACATTTCTAAAAAGTTCTAACTTAAGCTGATATTTTTAAAAATATTTTTTACACTCTGATTATATTTTTAAAATTGTAACTAATTTTATATAGTGTTTGTTTTTATTTCTTTTCATGTATTTTTAATGAAGTTAAAGGAAAAAATCAAAATGAAATCTGGAAAGGAGCTTAATATCATATTATAGAATTTATTTAAATTAGAGATGTTGATAAAACTTTGTAAAAGTATTTAATACTATAAAAAAAAGAAAAACAATTATTTTGACTTGTATGTAGTTACAAATTAGATTTTTGTTTATTTTAATCATGACTATTCTTCAAAATCTAATCTTCAGCTTATATTCTTATTTGGTACATTATATTTGTGTTTATTGATTAATCATGAATATTCTTAACAAAAATAGACATATTTTATTCTTTAAAATTTGATCAATTTCTTAGAAAAAATTGCAAAAAATGAATCGAGCAGTAAATTTAGTTAATTGAAAATTCACCAAAACAGTCAATTTGATAAAATTCAAGGATGTTAATTTATAAGCACTTCTTTAGCAAATGTGTCTGTTTTCATTTTATTTATGTTTATATTCTAATATCTATCTTACGGATTAATAGGAAAAAAAAGGTCAAAATTTTTATGCCTGTCAATTTCTTATGCATTTTGCGGATGTATTTAATTTCATGAAAATGCTAACTTAAACATTATTTCTGCAAACCTATCATGTAGAAGAAGTTAAAAATGCCTATTATTGTGCTGCCATCTGCTAATAATGTAGAGAACTACCAACAGGAATCGGATGAATAAAGCATAAAGTACATCCTTATGTGCATACATAAAGACCAAAAGTCATTTTTGCTACTTATTGATTTTAGGAACTATGTGTCAATGTATTTATTGCCTTTTTTTAGGAAAAAAGTGTGTAAAATTCAATTTTGACTTAGAATATTGTGTTTAATTTTAAAGGAGCTCATGCTTGCAAAATTTGCTACTTGTATGTTAGATTACTATAATAATCTATGTCGTTGATATCATACACAAATTTGAATAGATGAAGATGGACTACAGATTGACTTAATCAATTCTGTTACCAGGATTGTAGTACTTTTTAGACCGTAAAAGAAGAATCCAAGAATCCCAAGTTTTTTATGTTTGTTTCAATAATCAAGACTTGATTGATTATACTATATTAGTAAATTTTACATATGCATCAATAATTATCAAATTGTTCTTAATTAGGCTGTGAGGAAAGAGTGATCGAGAATTTTGTAAGAAGCTCTCTGGAACCCATGATAATTAAAGAGTTACACCCACGCTCTAGTATTACTGTCATTATTCAAGAAATGCAAAATGCTGGAAATGTAAGTGATTTCTTTGTTCATCCTTCTCTTTTTAATAACACATCATTTCATAAACTTGAAAAGAAAGAAACAAATTTAATTAAGTATTATTAATTTTTTCTGTCTAAAATTTCGGAGTTTTTATGTTGGAGAAACTCATCAAATCTTATTTTTGTGTATGAAATCCAAATTTATTTGGGTTTTATGCTTCCAAAAAGGAGGGGGGGGGTCTAATTTCTCAAAACTATAAAGCATTAGTCATCTACTTAACCCCTTCCTTCTCGCTTCCGTGAAAATGACGGGGTGATATTTCGCCCGCTATTTCTCTGCCCCGTGATATTGACGGGCTGGAGTGTTCAGTAGTAACTCGCCAATAAGAATAAAACTAATTCAGTTCTTTTGCTCGGAAAACGTTTTATTTCTCATTTTACACACCCGATGGCAGTACCAGGATAATTTTAAGGTAATTGTAGATAGTTAGTTTATTTTAAACTAGTTGCAGCACTAATCAAATATGTAATACAAATACACAAGCCAAAAAAATAGGCACTTTCATGACCATTTTCTTGAAAATTAGCCGATCATTAAGGGGTTAACATGTTTCACTTGTAAATCATTGATTTTTTAAATACTTTTTACATATAATAGGGTGGAAAGCCTCAGTACAATCTTTATTTTAAGCTACAATAATATTGAGCTATTTTATTATTATTATTTCTTCCTCTATGGGCATGACAGCTCTTTGTGGGCCAGAGCCTTCTCTAGAACCTTCCTCCTTTCCATTCTTTTCTTTGCAATTTTTCTCCAATTAGTAACTGTTCATATTGTTTCTTTCTTTATTATTTATTTTTATTTTTTTAAGGTCATTGTAGAATTTGAATTGACAAGAAACCTTAGCTGGGTACATATATTGTTGTGACGATGAGCTAAAATAAAGTTATTTTTTTGCTGTGATTACTGACTTCATATAGGTCTGCTGTTAACTTCTCATAGCTGGAGTTAGACATTGGATGCAGATCTATATATTTTTGGATTGGATTCTATATTGATTCACTACCCTCCTTTTTTTCCGCCTCTCAAAACAATGACTTTAGCTATGTTTATTTCCAGGAATTGGAACTCTAATTAATTTAATGTTTGGTTCCTGCTACAACATCCAAACAACAACCTGCTGCAACACAAAGCCTGTTTTTCTAATATTTTTATTCTACTCTGTTTTGACGTATTGCACTCCCTAAATTTGCAAAAGATCCTTTACTTCTCTTTCAAATATTTTGCAATTTCTAGACAACCTCACAATTGTTCTGCAATTACATTCTTTTGCATACTTTTATTCATTTAAGTTTAATTATTTATCTTTTTACAATATAAATGTATTGGAGCTTTCTTTTCATTCTTTAAGAGAATGCAAATTAGGGAGTATCTAAGTTAAAGGGAGCTTATGTCATAATATGCACAAATTTAATTTAAAATTTTACAACATAAAGTGTTTTAAAGTTTTTACTTATATATATATTTAAACATGTATGACTTAATTGATTCTGAAGTACAGGAATGTTAAAATTAGATGCAATATGAGTTTTTATGGGACTTCCACGAGTCAGTGAGAAAAGGGAAAACCGGGAATTGTCAGGGAATTTTATTTCAACTCTAAAAAGCAGGGTGTAGTCAACAAAATTTGCAATTTTTTACTTAAAACCTGGAAAATAACCAGTCTTAGAATTGTTGGTAACACCAATCAGTTATCAAAATTTGAGTTAAATAAAAAAATTTAAAAAAATCAATTTTTTTTAAATTACTATTTCAATTTTTTTGTAAAACTCCAATTTTTGGTGAAGCATTTCCATGTTTCCATTATCATTCAATTATATGTTTTTTATCAAAAATTCTAATATTTGACATTACAAATTTTTAAAAAAATGAAAAATGGTATAGATAAAATGTGGTATGGAGTTTCATTGAAATTTACCTGATATACCTGGAAAAGTCAGGTCAGAAAGGTCATTGAAACATCTTGATTATATAAATTCGTCAATCTAGTGAAAAGGTTCATGCACAGAATAATTAGAACATATATAATTTAAGCATTGGAACTTGAATTTTAAGATACTTAGTAGATTTTATATTTTAGGAGGGAAAGAAAATATATTTTTTAAAAAATCTGTCACCTGCTTAGCAGCAAAAATTGGTTCGGCACCTTTCAAGTTGTAGCAGAATCCTTCCACTTGGTGGCAATAAAAACTTGTGTTGCTTCAACTTTGGCGACTGCACTCTTAACAGTCTCTGACTGCTGAGTGAATTCATTTCAGGATGAGGAGAAGAACTGCTTAGAATAAAAGCCTTTCTGCTAATAGATCTCAATCTGAAGGGGGTTTAGTTAACTATCAAAGTGCCAAAAAATTTGGGTTCTGGTTCAATTAAAGTGCCTGATAAGGAAAATGAATAAACAAACTCATGAATATAACAATTATTGAATCACTGACCATATTACAACTTAAGTATTATCAACAAGAGACTGTATTATTTAACACATAATATTGCATCAGGGCCATTGAACTGTATTTTTTATATTTTTTTAAAACATTAAATTTTTAAATTGAACCAACCAAAGCAAATTCTTTGATGAAAGGTTTTGAATGATGGTTGAGGTATGAGTTGGACAATTGCATAAATCAAAATGGTATCAATTATATAAAAATCAAAATATTGTCATTTTTTCGAGACTCGTGATGTATATCAGTTTTGTAATAAAATTATCAATTTTGTGTTAGTCAGTTAGGCTGCAACATTTTCTACAGTTCCCTGAACCAGTTAACTCTTAACTCTTTTCAGTTCTTCCACGGTAAGTCTATTCAGAAATGCTTTTGCGTCATTAGGTTTGGTCCGAGTTAGTTATCTCTGAATGTGTGTCATTTAGAGGCAGTGTTCGACCAAGAAAATGGTCTTGGATCGAGAGAATTCTGTTCAGAACTCACCAACCTGACTGAATAATTGACGGGTAAGATTCCTTGTGATGCACATCAGAAAGGCCCTTGGATTGTCTGTCAACACGTTGATTTGAGAAAACTTAAGGATTTTTTATCGCACATCTATCGAAAAACTATTATGCATCAGGAATAGGAGTGTCCATAGCTTTGGCTTGAGCTCAATTTACAATGAATAGATAGTCTTTTTTCTGTCTCAGTTGTGGCTTGGTCACTCATGAGATGTTTCACCAGACACTTATTTGCTAAATACACTGCAAAAAAATAATGTGCATTTGCTGTCTAACCTTCTCTCAAAATATAACAAGGCTCTCTCAAAATATAACAAGGAAGCATAAAAATGCAAGCACATTCAACTGTTTCCTCCCTGGTTGGTAGGGCGCTGCGCCCATGTCCGAGAGTTCGTGGGTTCGAACCCTACCGGCCGAAGACTCCCCTTGTGGTTGGTGACTGATGAACGTTAAAATTGTCGCGTCGCAAAGTCCTCCATGTTCCCATAACAAATCAATACCTCTGGGGGTACTGGATTGGAGACCAATCATTCTCTTATTCAGGTCAAAATTATGATTTGTGGATGTATGAATGGGTCCGCCTTATAAACAGGTGTGACGCTGTGATGTGGCAGAAGTCGAATTCTAAACAAGAATCGCACACTTTGCCTTAAATTTACTCGGTTTCACTAAGCAGGCAGGCTTGCCTGTGTGGCAAGTGGCATTAGAACCAACCAACCGTTTCCTTCAAAATTTATGTTTTTTTTTGTATATATTCTATGTGTAACTTTTCACAATATGAAGTTCAGAATGCAAACAACCAATACTAAATAAATACAATTTGTACAACTGGCTCTCTTTTTTCCCCAAGTCTTTTAAATAGACTCAATTAATTTTTCCAATTAGGTTTCAATACAATTGTTACTTTAACACTATTTTATCTTTTGCATTCAATTCTCAATATTTATTAACTAAAGTTTATACTAAAAAAAAAATCTTTTTTTAATCATATTAACAGTAATGCATTAAATTTCATTTTAATTTTAATCTCCCACATGCTACCTTAACCCAATTAATATCAGTATTTTTAAATTTTTAGGAGATTCAATTCACTTTAATTTTTTTACATTATTTATTTATCTTTAAAATATTTAAGTGTGTAATATAGTTTATTTCCTCTTTTACACTTAAAATTAAAAGTGCCAGTTCTGATAAGCTTTTAAGTTTATTAACCCCTTAGTTATCGGTTAATTTTCAAGAAAACGGTCATAAAAGTGCCTATATTTTTGGTTTTTGTATTACGTATTTGATTAGTGCTGCAACTAGTTTAAAATAAACTAGCTATCTACAATTACCTTAAAAATATTCTGGTACTGCTATCAGGTGTGTAAAATGAGAAATAAAATGTTATCCGGGCAAAAAAAATGATTTAGTTTTATTCTTATTGGCGCGTTACTACTGAGCACTCCAGCCCGTCAATATCACGGGGGCGAGAAATAGCGGACGAAAACTCACCTAGTCATTTTCACGGGAGCGAGTTGGAAGGGGTTAAAGAGCTGTTCTTTGTACACAAAATAAGGTAAAGCAGAAACCTTTAATATTTAATAAAATTAAACAAAATTTTTATAGTAATTTTTAATTAATAATAAAAATTTCCTTTAAAAATTTGAGAAAACACTTTTTAAAAATTGTACAAAATATGAGTATTTAAAGTAATTCTTTCATGCTGTGTATGCGCAGAAAACATTTAAAAAAGAAAAATTCATATTTTTGCTTAGTATTTGGTAACTTCTTGAAAATGTAAAATGTTTCTTGGTTTAAAGTTGATTTTGTACTTTTTTTATTGAAAGCTTCTAAATGATATGGAGTTTTCCACAAATACCATTTTTATAAGAAGAAGCCAAATTTAATAACTAATGATAATATCCTAAGATGATGGTCCGGACAACAAGAAAATAAAACGTGAAATAAAACATAATTTAATGTGGTGTGTTTCAATGTAATGCTGGTGTCATTTTTAATAAATCTTGTTTATTTGTACAAATTTAAATTTATGGATTCAAAACCCCATTCAAAACTTAGAAAAGTTGCTAGAAACTTTTAAAATTTTAAAACTGAATTTTTTTGTAAGTTAACAAAAATGATTTAAAACAAATTTTTAACTTATTTTTTTTTCCAATTTTAAAAGGATATTTTTATATTTGAGTAAAGGTTACTCTAAAAATTTTGTTTAATTATTAGTTTAATGCACTTTTGTTTGTCTAACCCCTGTAATTTAATAATATAATGTTTATTTATTTCCAGTTGCTGGCATGCTGTGTGAATGCAGCCTATTTAGCTGTTCTAGATGCAGGCATTCCACTCAGGGGGTCCATAGCTGCAGTATCCATTGACTTGTCGGATGACAAACTAACACCTTTTAATTCTTCAAAAGAAAAGGTAAATTGTTTTCTTCTATGGTTGTTTAAATTATGTATCATAAGTAGGCAATACCTAAAAAGTAAACTGAAATGTATCAAAATTTCCAGCTTCAGTAAACTTAACATATTTTATATCAGTTTAAAGCTTAAATTGTATATTTTAATGTTATACAGCTTGACTTCTATTAGCATTTAAATTAACGCTTCCATTTTCAATTCATAACTCAGGTTTCATTTTTTTTTCAAGAACTATGTGAAATAAAAGCTCTATTTAAATACTCCATTTTAATATTTAATGAAATATTTTCAGTATTTAACCTATCTTGAAGATTTTTGTTAACGTTATAATTTTATTTACAGAAAAATTAAGTACAGAAAGAATTCTTTGAAAAATATAATTTTGGTAATTGAAGAATTTCAATTGGCAAATATTTTGATTCGTCCTTTACAAAAATTAAGCAAGAGTTAATATTTGACAAAATTAATTAATATTTTTTCAATTCTATTATGATCCTTTATTATTGTTAGTAACAAATTAAATGCTGTGAGAAAAAAAATTTCCCAGCTCTAAATTTTTTTAAAAAATTGGTGTTACAGTGGTAACATATCTACATTGTTACATAAGTAACAAATCAAGAACTTGAATTTTAAAAACATAACTGTAAATGGCACTTGAGAAGGACCAAATGATTAAATCTCTAAAAAAAATTTATTTTCAATTATCCCAAAATTCATTTCTATATCATTTAAGATGTATTATATTTATAAGGAAAATATTTTTCATTTAATTGCTATGGTAAAAAGTTCTTAATATTTTTAAAAGAAACTTTATTTTGAGTATTGGCAACATTTCTTAATATCAGTATTCCAAGACTAAAATGTGACTCAAACCACTATCAAATAATTAGCACTGGTCTTCATGTAAAAGGGAAGTATACTGTTTTAGATTTTCGGTTTCATGTTCTAGTTTATACTTTTATCACAAAATAGCATATTTAATCATAATTGTGACGTTACGCAGACTCTGCATTATAATTTTTGATATAATTTCACTTACTTAAAGGCTTAACTTTAAAAACTATTGTAGCGATTCCCTTGAGAAACCATCTGGAAAATCTATTTTTAGCTCAAACCCCCAAATTGTGCCTCTTCAGCCTACCCTGAAAGACCAGGATTAAGGATTTTTATTCATTCCAGATAGTATCCCGTCAGCGATCAATCGCACAAAGTTGTTGTTAAATTTTAATAAAATTATATTAAGTTTTTACAATCGTCATCCTTGTTCTTTTCACATATTGGAGTCATAACAATAAGCTATGTGATTAGAGGAAAATAATCTACCCTTTAAAACCTCTAAACTATCAAAGACAGGTATATGGAGCAGTGAAAATGTCTACAAACAATCTGTATCTTTCTACTAGTGTATTTTCTATGTGTATCTTTCTACTAGTGTCTACAATGAATATTTTTTTAATCTAGGCAATGTGTAAAAATGTGTATCTTTCAGTTAAAGACCCTTCAGACTAGTGACTAAATTTTCTTGATTTCTGTCCTTGATGTTGATTAAATATTCAAATCTGACAACAGAAAAGCATAGTAATGACAAAAATTGTGCAATTTTATTTTTAATAAAATTAAAGACCATAAAAGTTATATTGCATAATATATTGGATCTTTTAATCATAAATTTTGCATTACATTAGTTATTTTAGTGATTTTAATAAATCTTTAGTTTGTTGCAATTTGGCTTAACTTCAAAAAAATATTTTAAATATTTTTTTTAATTGATTTTGCCTTTTACCATCGTACTTTTTACTTTTTCTATCTATTTATCTATCTTATTTATGATAAATTTTTTTTAATAAAAAATCTTAACATGTTGCATTTTTGTTTTTTTAAAACATTATTCGGTTGATTGAAATTATGATTTAATTTAAATGAATACAGATTATTTGTATAGTATTTTTATTTTTTTAAGGGGACTTGTAATTGTTGAAAAGTTGTTCTTTTATTTTATTAATCCCTTTATTTTTTGTTACCTTACAGCTTTGTTTAATATTTAAGAAAAATTTATTTTGTTTTATAGCTAAGGATTAAAATTATAATGTTTTTATCCTTTTTTTTATTTTTACTTTTCTGTTAATAAAAAGTATTATTTTTTAGTTATTTATTCTATTTGATTTAATTTAATAAATATGAATTAATTTAAATTAAATATGGATTGTTTATATATATTTTTTTGTTTCTTTTTATTTGTTATAATATGTTGTCTTAAATATGTGTTTTAAGTTAAAAATATGTTGTTTCTTTAAGTAATTTTCTTTTTAAACTAGTATCACTCAATTAAGATTTGCAATCCTATTGGTACTTATATTTTCCATAATTATATTATTTTGTTATCGATGCTTTATATATTACAGGATGCATAGTGTTTTTTAAAAGTTTTTTAAGGTGCTTATTTTATTTGGGGTTTATAAAAAGTGTTTAATTTTCTATTTTTTTAAAATGAGAGATTTTTCTTTACCGTGTCAATTGTTGTCATAAATTACAAAAAATGCATGATTTTCGCAATTTTCTCTGCAATATTTATCACAAACGTTATTATTTTATCATGAATATGTAAAGTTTTTGAAAATGTTTTTGACTTTTGTTCATTTTATGTTTAAAAATTAGGAACTTTCAATGATGGAAAAAAAATAATTTTTATTACTGCACATATCCTATTTATGATTTTTTTTTCTTTCTGGAAAGTGCTTAAAAATATTTTTTGAAAGGTGCTTATTTTTTGTTGAAAAATCTGGCTACACACCCTGTATTAGGTTTTAATTTTATTGCGTTTTAAACAAATTATTTAAATATTTTTATTATTTTTATATATTCAGGGTGGTCCTAAAGTTTATGTCAAAAATGTAAAGGCAGGTAGAGGGGACATAAATAAGCATATTTCGGATAGAAATGTGTGTGCGGTAATGGCACATTAAAGCACTAGCTTGTGAAGCAGTATGAATCAAAGGAAACTGAAAAGACAAGTAAAGACAAAAGAAAACAAAAATTTATCAACAGTTTACAAGAGGTGCTCGAAGGAGCAGCCACCAACAGCGATACAAGATTCACAGCGATGGAGCATAGATCACCGTACATTAGAAAAGACGTCAGGCATGTTGAGCTCATCTGAAGCAGCAACAGACAAGCGTTCAACAAGATCTTCTTCACATGTGACGAGACTCTCGCACACCAGGCTTTTAATACGACCCCCAAAAAAAATCCAAGCAGGTTCCATCCATCAGGAGAACGCGGTGGCCAGGGAACTGCACCGCCATGCCCTGCGGGAAATGATGAATCTAGCTAACAAGCTCTTTAATAAGTCGCAGTCATCAGCGCTCCCTACCAGCTCAAGGTGCCATTACCCACTATACAAAATATGCTTATTTAGGTCCCCTCTACCTACCTTTACATTTTTGACATATATTTTAGGACCACCCTGTATATATAAGTTCAAAATGAAGATAAAACAAAGGAAAATTACCGACGTATGAAAAAAGGGGGGAAAGAAAAATAATAATAAAAATAACAAGAAACTCGGAGGAAAATAATAATAAATAGTATAAAATAATAATCCTCATTTTTATTATTATTATTTTCCTTTGTTTTTTTTAAACTTATTTTATGAGTTCTATTTACTTGCAGCTTATGCACAATAAATGAATGTTTTTTTGTATTTATTTATTTTGCTATATATATATATATATATATATATATTTGCAACAACTTATCAAAAATTCGCTTTTTTTTAATATTGCGAGTAAATTCCCATTAACTTATTATCCTTCTCAGTTACGTAGTTCTGGCAATTTATTATTTCTTATCAGAGTTAGTATTGTTAAAATCACTTGATTTTTTTTAAATAAAAATAATTTATGCTTTTTTTTAAATTGTGATTTTATTTATGATTCTAATTTATATTCTAATTAAATATAAATTCTGTTGAGAATTTATTTTTTTTTAAATTCTAGAATTTTATGCAATTCTATTTGGGAAAGTCTGGGGGAAAATGTCTTCTCTTTGAGTATGAACCCTGTTTGAACGTTATTGTATTAAAGGTCACTTTTTTTTTTTTTTCAAAAAATACGGCAATGTGGAAAAGTTAAATTGAGGTTTTTAATATTTAAATTTTCTTCGTTTAAAAATTAAGTGCTTTTATTTTGGTTTCTATTTAGCTTTTTCTTTTTTAATAACATTTATGTTTATAAATGTTTTTATTGTGATATGGCAATTAAAAGGGTTTCTATTAGACTATATTCTTTTCTATTTTTAAAAAAAAATACAGTAATTGGAAAATTAAGATGTTTAGCTTTAAAATTTCCTATCAAATATTACCAACTCATTTTTATTTGTCCTGTTTTACTTTTATTTATAATCTTTTTTATAGTTTTTTTTATGATACCACTGTATTTTTATAGATTATATCTCTCTCAACTTTTTATTGATAATTTTTTTATGGAAAATGGTTTTAGCATTAAAGTTTCGTTTTAAGAATTAAAGGGATATTTTTTCTATTTCCCTTTTTCTTTCATTCAGCTTTACCACTTTTTTTTAACAGCGGTTGCTCAGTTTTTTATTTGTCTTAAATATTTCTAATTATCTTAATATCTAATTATCTTAAATATNTTAAAAAAAAATCTTTTTAGCTGTATGAATCTGTATTTATTGTTACAGTTATTTTAAGTATAATTTGTAAATCATGTTTTTAAATATTACTTTTTTTTCATAGGAAGCTCAAAGTTGCACTGTATGTATAACAAATGAAATGAAGATCAACGGAATCAAAAGCTCATTTTTTCTGACAAAAGAAACAATAGAGAAATGTATAAAAACTGCTCAAAGTTCAGCTGAAAATATTTTTAAAATGTATAGAGATGGTTGTACAAAAAGATATAATAGCAAATAATATCTTATTATGTAACTTATTTTGAATGTATATAATATAAATCTCCCTACCATTTTTATTTATGTTAGAATATTTTTTTATGCAAAATGTGTATTCTTTTAAACTGATTAAGAGTTAAAGTGAATCCTGTCCTGTATGCAAAATGGTCAACTTCTGTGTTGTTTTCTGAGAAGATATTGAATTTATTGTTTTTCTTGTTTTGATTAAGAAATTTATAATCTTATTTTGATTTAGAAATTAGAAATTTATAAATTATAACTTCTAACCTTGAAAGTTGCCAAAATAAAATTACTTATTTAATTTTTCTAAAAGAACCCAAAGTGGGAACAATAACATTAATAGCAGCTAATTCTGAATTCTATTCATATTTATGCTATACTTTTATATTTAAATAACACTATCATAACTTTTTTCCTTGAAGTTTAGGACAGCATTGTCTACTTTATCTAAAAACTGTCAGCATGATATACCTTATGTGCTTCCAACCTTAGAGAACTGTGCAAAAACTACTAAATCAATTTTCAAAGCTTTTTTTTTTTTTTTTTTAGTTGGAAGTTTATGTAGCNTTTTTTTTTTTTTTTTTTTGTAATCTAGTTGTAGTGCACAACTTAAAGAAATTTTTTTGTTATTTATTTATTTTAAATAGTTGTTGATTATTTATTAACATTTAAAGTCAATTTTTGTACCTGAAAAATATGTATTAGCTATTCCAAAAGATAGAAAGTTCAGATCAAAAATAAAATTTGGATTCTGAAATTGATTCTGCATTTTCTCAAGAAAATGACATGAAAGCTGACCATTTCAAAATGATCCAAATGGATACATCTGACTCTTTAAGCTTCAATTACTGTATTTTTGGATTAGTAATTGACGGATGAAAATGATTGGAAAAAAATAGTATGTGTTTCTGCACAGGCATCAAAATTGATTATATTTAAGTTTGAGAGTGAACAAGTAAGTATTAAAAAAATTTTTTGATCAGTACAATAAATGCAAACATTAAGAATTATAACAATCTTATTTAATGGTTCTTGAAAATGTAAATACAAAAATTACTTGTTAGAATGCACCATACATTCTACATTTGCATATTCTGAAATGTATACTTCTTAGCAAACTTCTACAATACACATCTAGATCCATATTTACACTTTCCAGTTAAGTTTTACTCCAAAAATTTTTAATAAAACTATTAGTTTTTTTTCTTCCTGTTGCTGATTAAAGATAATCCCTTTGAAAATCAGTAAATAAGCGTTGGGAGGGACAATGACTTCTTTCATGCGTACTGAATTAAGGGTATAAATTGCAGGGTGTGTAGCATTTTTTAAAGGAGCTTATTTTGATTTTTAAAAGCCCTTAAAGGTTCTTTTCTCTTTGGGTGTTTTTTGAAAGTGCTTAATTTTCCAAAATGAGATGTTTTTTCTTTACCATGTCGGTTTTTACCACGAATTATGCAAAAATCGTGATTTTTTCGCATTGTTATATTCAACATTATCTCACTCCATCCATCCGCAACCCATACCAGCGTACCGTCAATCGGTAGTGTGTAAAAGCGCCAATCATTTGACATGTTTGATTAAATGCTTGCGGGGGCTGCATGTGCGTATACTGAGCTGGATTCTGCAGGAAGGATTCTTGCAACTCTGCTACATTTTCAAGAGATTCTCAATTTCATTTTCTGCCCTCTGAAATCGAACAGAGTAATCTCGAAATTTTACTGATCATAGGAAAGAACTAAACATTACTATTTTTTTTCCTTAGTAGCATAAGAAAGTTTTATTTCTCTTGTTAATTTCATTGTTGGTTAAACTCCATCGTCCTCGTCCCTGGTAAGCCAATACCCTTTTCACGCTATTCTATTTAGTTGATAATCCTAGATGATCGATAATCCTTGAGACAATCATTTATTAATTACATATTTTCATTTGGGTCCCCAGAGCAGTTAAGAATTGCAAAGTTTCATCAACTAAAAATTTTCAGATACCTTCTATTCATTTAATTTAATAAAGATAAAATTAGTTGAGTTTTTTAATTATGATATTTTTTACTTGAGGGACCATCCGCTAATTGCATAATTTTTTTAAAACTTTTGTTGTACTTTATTACTTTTTTTTACTTATTACTTTTTTATTATTGTATAATTACTTTGAAAATTTTCAGTGCTAATTGTTTTAAGAAAAAAGCTCAATATTTAGAGGCAAGATTTTCAAAAAAGTTTGAAGTAAAAGGCTGTCAATATTTTAAATGCAGCAAAAAATGTTATTCAGATTTATCATTTCAAAGAAATTAATTCCTCTTAATTTCATTTAAAACAATTGAAATAAGAAATTCAATTATCTCAGATTTGATAAATATTATGAGTGTAGGACCATATAAAAATATACTTCTGACAAAAATATTTAGCTTCAATACTTTATGTATTTACATTTCAAAATTATTTCAATTTTTTTAATCATTTCATTGACGGAATACTGAACCGAGTAATAAATTTTAATAAGGATTTCCTTAGTTTGCTTATTTCTTTACAGTATAAATTCAGTATAATTAATAATATTAATCTTGTTAATATTTTTTTAATATGCTTTTATAAGTAACTTTTATTTGATTTTAAAAATTATACACAATAACCTTTTTTAAATAATGGTTGAGCCATAATATTGAATTAATTTTTTTACATAATTAAATAAAGTAATTAATAAGTTAAAGTGAGCCACTCAATATTGAATATATTTAAAATTGTGTATAAATTGTTTGTATGGTGGCTAATTCTTTGACAGAAATTAGTTATTTTATCATGATCATATAAAGTCATTGAAAATTATTTTGTATTTTGTTAATATGTATATACTTTATATATATATAGAGAGAGAGAGAAAACATGAAATAATGTAACAAAAATTAATGAAAAGAGAAGAAAAAAATTATTAAAAAAAAATTTAAAATTTTTTTAAATTTATTTAAGAAACAAAATAATATAAAGATATTATCTTGTCCTCAGCTCACATGATTATTCAATTTTTTAGTACTTTAATTTAGGTTTTCTTTAACGTAAATTTCCTTTTTAAATTATTGTCAAGTTTTTTTTTAAAAAAAAAAAACTTAAAATCATTGTCTGCTAGCTAAAAATAAAACCTTGTTAAGAAATTAAAACCATTCTGCTGCTTAGAATTATTTGATGCAAAATAACCAGCTGAGGTTAATTAGCATGTCTAAGGTTACCCCAAAGAACCATTAAGATTGACACTTAAGTTCGTGAAAATCCGATCATTGGAACGAAAGTTATTCAGGGTGATATCTTTTTTTTTCGCCAGCTGTACAATTGCATGACTCATTAAAATAGAAATTGAATTTTTAACTGTTACTGCCTTCAGGGGCAGAACTCCAGACAACATTTGAGCTCTCTAGCTACTCGGAAAGCCCTTTAATTCCCAAGACTTAAATCAGCACTATTCTGTTTTCTCTTTTTAGAATGACTTTTTGCAAGTGAATTTCTTTTATTCGCTTTTATTTACTAGTATTTGACGCTCCAAATTATGTCAATTAAAGTCAAAGGAATATTTCAAAAATATTCCTTTCTGCATTAATCAACAAAGTTTTATTCGCTTATATTAAAATACATATTAAAAAAATATTAATTAATTAAAAAATTATTATAAATAATGTAATTATAAGTTTAATAAAAATATGTATTAAAAATAAATCAATGAATTTTTTTCACAATTCGAAATTTAAATTCCCATATTAAACTACATAATTATAAGATATTACTAAGTCCGTATGAATATTAGAGAATTATTTTTTATATTGTTTGCTGCTTAATTTTCATTAATTAAATCTTTTTTTCAGTTTTCAATAGCAACAATTGAAAATAAAAATAAGTCAACAATTAATCATTTTTTTAAAAATAACGATATGGAATTGTTAACAATGGTGATTTTCTCCCGTTCTAACAATGTGTATAAATAATATCAATTGTTAAAATAGTTATGTTCGAAAAAAAGTATCATTCTTGATTGAACTGCTATAAAAAGAGGTTTGATTAAGCGCTTAAGATATTTCAAAATGCCTTTTGGTGTGAAAAAGTGGATAAGAAAGCAAATGTAAGTCAATTTATTTCGCACTTAATCAGTTATTATAGGATTTGAATTAAAGTCAAATAAATAATAAAAATATATAATTCAAAAATTTAACTCCGCATGTATTATTTTGCAACTAAAAGCAAAGCATAAAAAAAAATTAAATATGTTTTTTTAAAGAAATGGTTATTGACGATTGTATGATTGCACTCTAGAAACAATTAAGTTACTATCATATTAAGAAAATTATTTTCAATCGCAATATCTGATTTTCATAAATATAACCGTGAAATAAATAACAACTGCATACTACTTTAAACTGTATAATTCAACTAAAATTTGAAACGAATAATAACAAGGTTCCACTTAGTTCACGAAATAATTGGTATCTTTTTTACTTCTATACTTAATAACTCATTTGTACAGTCTCTTTCAACTGTAGCTAATTGTGTTTTCTGTATCTTGCAGCATAATTCTTAGAAGTTTTAAATAGATTTATTTAGAAATATTCTTTTTTTTTTTCCCTCTTGGCTCCAATGTACGTTATTATTTCATTTGTACTCATCGTAATTGGATACCGGCAAGTAACGTCATCGATGGTAATCATGATATTTGTGAATTCAGGAGCCAATCAAGTTGGACACACAAGCGTGACGCCACTTAGAGTATCCAATTAAATCTGATTTTAATCATATGGTTAGGCATAATCATTTAAATTTTTCTCGAGTTGCAAGTACCTGATTACAGCCCACTAATATTATTGCGGCAAATGCAAAAGGGAAATGTTTCAATGTTTATATTTTAAAAATGATAATCTAAAAGTTTACTGTAATGAGGACAAAGGAAGGAGTTTTGTAATAAAATTTATTTGGCCTTTTAAACAATTTCTTTGAAATGGAAAGCGTAAAGTATAAAGGAATCACAGAAATTCCTTCATTCAAATAAAAATACCCAAAATAAGAATTCTGAATCTCAGCACCCG